AAGTCCCTCATTAATGCTTTTTCTGGTTGATACTATTTTAACATACTTATGAAGTACTTGTAATTTCAAGGCAGTTGATATTTTCTCCACGGAGCTGCAACTAAAAGGGATGTATTAGGCACTTCATAACTGTAAGAAACTTTAAAGAATATATATTTCTCCCTCTTACAGTCAAATTATCTTTGTACATAATTAATAATGCAGTAAATCATAAAACTGTACACAGACTCTTTAGTGGAGAATTATGCTCAAATTGGTGTTGATAGTTGGGGAAAAAGAAGGAGAAAAGAAAGCTCTGAGATCTTACAGTGGCCTTCCAGTACTTAAAAGAGAGTCTACAGTAAAGATGAAGAGGGACTCTGTCAGGAAGTACAGTGCAGGAACAAAGGATAATGGCTTTAAAGTATAAGAGGGTAGGTTTTGATTAGATAGAAGAAATAATTTCTTTATGCAGGAGGTGGTGAGACATGGACACAGGCTGCCCAGAGAAGCTGTGGATTATCCATTCCTGGAGACATTTGAGACTGTGTTAGATGAGACCCCAGGCAGCCTGATTTGATGGGTATGTAGTGGGGGAGCTGGACCTAGATAGTCTTCAAGGTCCCTTCCAACTTCGTGATTCTATTAGTTCTGAATGAAAAACAGAGTGTACTGCAGACCACCAGTTGCTGAGTTTTGAATAGTCAGCACAGAGTCGCATATAATTCCTCATTTGAGAGAAATGCATACTGTGTGAAAATTCAAGATAAACAATAGTCTTATTGTTTACAGATATCATTACATATATACAATATATTCCCTAATGTATGTATAAACGGCACATTCAGATTATACTCTGCTTTGAACTGCTTATCCTTTCTATATTTTTACGTTCTCATTTCCAATGTGTAGATTTAAAAACACAAGTAACACTAAGTTCCTGTGATCTGTTGTATTTAAAAACAGACTACCACTCATGACTACTAGAAACCACAAAAACAAGATATTGCCCTTTTTATTTTCTTAGAGAAATATTAGCAAATTTGGACACACTTGACTATGCAGTGCAGATGCTGAAGTCTGCAGTTTTAGCATTAACACTCAGATGCTATCATTAATTGTTTGAGAAATGTTAGAGTATAACTACATGATTTGTGATATCACTGTGTGATATTCTTTTCCTTTACTGATTATACATCACTTACAGTACTAATGTTCAAAGTTCTCTGTTGGTTTTATTCCATTTATTGTAATTTTATTATCGTTGTTTTTGACTTTATTACATATTACAGTTTGGCCTTTCAGAGACTATAGTTGATGGTAGAGGACTGAGACCAAAATAAGTACCTTACAGTGTAGGCCCCCAACAGCATTTTTATGTTGATTTTTTTTTTTTCCCCAATTGTACTCCATGCCTCATTGAATCCAGCAGTGATTTTACTGTTCATTTTAAGGCTTTAAAATAATTTTGCCCTCTGTTAAGCACTTGCCTTTCCATTTACTACAGGTCAGAATCTGACAGCATTTTTTTTCTGTGCACTGGAGCATGCATCGTGTTAAAAGATACACAAGAATCAAGAAGGTTTCCTGCTATGTCTCTCAAGTGTTATTAGCTCTAAGAATGCTTCACAGTGGAAAGATCTTAAAGTATATTACAAGAAACATAAATATAAGGCACATTTTACAGATGAGCAGGATAAAAACAAAAAATAAAAGAATGATGTGATTTGCTTGCATGGAATATGCAAGCCGAAGTTTTAGCATCTAAACCAAATTTTTGCATAATGTATCTTCTTAGTGAACGTAATAAAACAAGAACTGATATGAATAGTCTGATACTTACAAACAGCCAGTTCCTCCTGTCTGCTAGTCACAAACTATCTGTCTTTAATCACTAAGAATTTGTTTATCTGGAAGTTTAGATTTTTATTTATTTTTTTTAATTAATCAAATAGTAGTTTACTTATGGTTCTGGTGCATGCACACAAATTAGAAAATAAAAATATAAAAAAGGCTGGAAGGAGAGTTTGTAGTGACTTTTTAGTCACTCTGCTATCTGTCAAGTTGGAACCAGTGTAGCAGTTCAAGGAAGAGATTGGTAGTCCTTACTGATGGTACAAATATGTAAAAGTACCAGTTCAGTTTTAAATAGTTTTTGACATTTAATGTCCTTAAATATGGCCTCTTTTGCCTCCTGCCATTTCTTCATGCAGTTAGTGCAGTTCAGAGAATTTAACCCAAAATACGTCTGTTGCATGAGAGGAATATCATTCAGCTACATAAGCACTGTTTCCAAAGATGGACTGCTTTTAACTTTGAGATTTCAATGAACAAATCAACTACTCAGTGGTGAACACTTTCTTTATTTCATATTCTGTTTTCCTCATTCTGGATTTTATTTTTTTGCCATTCTGTTGCTTAGAACACAAGTAGTTCCAGGCAGCGACCTTTGACTCATGTTTATGAATTTTTTTTGTCTCTTGTGCAACATAAATGTATATGCATAACATTCAAATAAAATATTAGACAGTAGATGAAAAATTTTCCCAAATAGGACTTTTTCCATGTGACTTTAGTCTTTATATTGGTGTTGCTCCAGCATATGGTTGAGTGGCTCCTAGAAGTTGACTACACTATGCACTTTATAAGGAAGTTAACAAAGGTCAAATTGTTCATAAAATCATTAGTGAAATGTCAGAAACAATTTAGTCTAAATGCCATATTTTCTTGAAGAAATACCCATTATAAAATATATCTTTTAGCTGCATTTCTGTGCTGTTGCCTTTGTCAGCTAAGAATTGGATTGTTGACAAAAAATAAATGCTCTATGCAAGTTGTGTATTTCTAGAACATTTTCCCTGTAAAAGGAAAAGATAAGAGCTTGGATAAGATTTGGGACAGAGTGAAGGATTTTTTCATTTTAAACATACAGTCAGGCTGAAACTAATGTTAACTCAATTTCTCATTGTGACCCAAAATTCAGCTTGAATTTTGCACTAACGCTATCTTAGTTGGTGGGTGATAAATAAGCTTGATATTGTAATAGTAGTGTTTCTTGAAAGATGTGAAAATGAATGTAGCATTTACTTCATTAAATATTACCTGGAGATGGAACAGTCTGAGAGTAAAGTTCATCATTTTTCTAGCTTCATTCTTTGGAAAAGAAATTTGCTGTTTGCTCCTGTCTCTCGTACTTCACTCTAAACAGTATGTCATTCTGATCTTCTAGGCAGGAAACCCTCCTTTGTTGAAAATTAAGGCTGTCAGAGGTTGTTATCTGAGAGGTTTTAAGACTCTGTAAATCTTGCAGATTTTGTTTAGGTTACTGTTTTATGAATTTATTACTTCGTTAAGAAATAAAAGCCTAAATTGAAGCTTCGGTAAAGTAGGATTTATAGATCTTTAATTTTGCTCACATTTCCCAATTAGCTGTCAGAATCCAGGTGGTTGCTTTTATCACTGGCTGTTATATTTAACATTAAAGAATATTTATTGATTATTTCCAACAAATGTTTTGTTGTATCAAAGATGTATTCCATTGCAAATCTTGATGAGTTAGTTTTTTTGTTGACATTAGCCATTAAAACAAAAATTCTAACATGATGTATCATTACAAATACCATGCTATACAGTTCCATTGAGATCACTTATCCTTCAGTAACATTTCTACAGACTAATCATATCTCAATATAACATTTTTTTTACTCTAAGTGTGGCAAAAATCATGTAACACAAATGACTTTTAGATGCTTTTGAAGAGGCATATTTTTCAGAAAACTTAAGGGAAAGAAAAACATTTCCTATTTATAAGTGAGACTATCTCTTTTCATGCTTGGCTTGTATGTGGTTAAAAGAGCCTCAGAAATCTATGTGCCTGTAATCTATGTGTACATTTTTTCAAAGTTCTCCTTGTGACTGATATTATATACTGGATTTATTCAGTTCCCAGTGCTTTTAGTTGCCAGTGATTTCTGTAATTGGTTTGTATGATAACAAAGCTATAACTCTAAAACAGTGGATCCAAACATCTCTCTCCTTAATTCAGTGTTTCTCTCATCTGCTCCAAAGTGAAGATTTATCCTGAGCCTTTTGTCATTGTCAGTGAGACATTTTGACTTCTGAATACAAGGTTGTTCCTTTATTGCTCACCTAATGCATATTAACTGATTTGATCAGGAAGTGATATTATATTTTAAAAACTAAGTACTTTGTGATTAGGATTCTATGCAGAGAAATCTCATACAGTGTTTCTGCAATTTCTTTACTGAAAATAAAAGCAGTACTTGTACTTAAACATTAGGGAGTATTTCATTAAACAATTTATACTAGTCTTTATTATAATGAAATATGAACATTGACGTGACAGAATATAAATGCTGAAATTTTTTTATACTTCTGTGAAAGTGATGTGTCTCAGGCTTGCCTAATGAAAGGTTTTTATAACCAAACAAAAGTCAATGATTGCAGTTTACTGCAACTCCTGGTATTTATCCTTTAAATTGCAGGTTCACATCTATCTGTCTATCTACCTGTCTATCTTTCTATGAATATATTCATATATTTAAGTATAAATATATAAATAATATGTAAGTAGACATAGGTCCGATTCAAAGGATAGATTATCGTTTATAAAGTTGGCTGATCTGTAAGTTACGATACTTTTCCCCTTCTCCCACAAATGTAGATGAAGACAAGGTGATTAATGTATATGTAGTTATAGGCCTGCTATTTTCCGTAGGTATACTACACACTCTGTTATTCATATGTGGATTTTCTTCAAATCAAATATATAATAACAAAGCTAAAGCCTAAAGACCATCCAGACTTCAGCAGAATATCAAATTAAGCTAGATTTGAGTGTGTTCAAGGGAGAGGAGACAAGTCATTGTAATAAGAAATCTATTTATCTTGTTTATATAGAAGAACAGAATCTAATTTATTTGTGTGCCCATCTGGGCTACATTGCTCATTTTAAGTTAATTTAACAAATGATAGACTGCTACTGGCCTTTTCTTTCCCAGGAGAAGAGGTTGACAGGCAGCTATGCAGAGATGCTATCTACCCAATCCCTGTTGTCTGCGAAGCACCATGCCCAAAGGACTGTGTGCTCAGCATGTGGTCTGTGTGGTCCTCCTGCTCACACACCTGCTCCGGCAAAACCACAGAAGGAAAACAGATGCGTGCCCGCTCAATTCTGGCGTATGCAGGTGAAGGTAAGGTCACATACTTTTGCAGACTATTGTCTGATTGTGAATACTCGTCCATTATTGTAATGCCAAAGTAATTACTTGGTCAACAGAAACAAATTATTTTGTGAAACTGTTGTTGTTTTTTAAACAATAGGAATATTATTTAAATGTTTATTCTAAACATAATCATGATAGAAGTATTTTGAAGAAGAAACTTATTTTGTCAGTTAATGTTCCTCGTTATTGCTTTGCACATTGCTATTTTGATTTCAAATATTTGGTTTTCCTATTTTCTCTTAAAAATTAACAATGCAAATGATTTACTCTATGTAAATTGCAATGAAAAATATTTATATATGACTGTTGAGAATCAGCTGATAGGTCCAATTTTGCAAAGAGGCAAATATAAATGCTGAAGGGATGAAAGTTTTAATGGGTTTGGTTGCTAACAAATGGCTCTTATAGCTTAGTATGAACAGGTAACTGCTGTCACTACATTAACATTTTTATACATAGCAAAACTTTATTGTCTGTCCCACTCAGTAGGTTTCTAGGGAGGTGAATCTTTTTCTGTCTCCTGAGTCACATCTCCCCTAGTCAGCAAAGGCTTGCTACTGAGATGGAGTCATCCAATACACAGATTAATAATACACATCAATTACCATTTATTAAGAGCTTTGTTAACTAATACTCTAATTGGAGGTATAATTGGCTAATTTGATAATTACGATTAATAAACATTACAGGTAAGACAATGGCTACTACAAAGAATGAAAAAATAAAAGATAAAGAGAAAAGATAGAAAATGGAGAAAGAGACAGCTGGATTGCTCCTCAATCCAGCAATGTCTTGGTGTCAGGTTGATCTTCAGTAGTGTCAGGTCATCCAAGTTAGTGTTAATCAATGGATGACTAACAACAACAGTACAAACTCTTACTTATAGTCCAAAGCAGTTGAGCCTGCTCTTTTGGAGTGACAGCTTCTGACTTTGGGATTTCAGCAGGAACTTCTTGGTTCCCAATTTTCCAGACCTTGTAAATTTAAGTCAGCATGTAAGAGGTAGCAGGGAGATGCCATCTTGTATCTTGCCTTCACAGAATACAATGGTATATCTCTCAGTTTCCTATATCAATCTAGAATCATTTGCTCACAGACCAAGTTTTCATCCAACAAACACTCCTGGGCCCTCCCATTTGGAAGCAAGCATAAAATGCCATAAAATGATGTTGATTGCCTTGTGTTCATTTGAGACATTCCTTACTAGTCTCAAACATTTGGCTTTATTCTGCAAATCCTCACTTGTGTGTAGTTTCCATTCACGCGAATGATCCTTATTCTGCATCTGAAGCAAATTGCAAAAAGAAGATATAGCTAGATTATGAAAGAAAAGAATGACAAGGCTTTAGGTAGAGGTTCATATATATCTTTGATAATTTTCCATGCTTCCAACAACTTTTGTTGAAAATATGGAAATAGTGAAGAACCTTTCTGACAAATGGAGAAGGAATGGAATAGGTGTCATACATCGAAACACCTCTCCCTTTGCAAATGCAGCTAATTTAATTGCCAAGAGTATACTGTATACTTGACAGAATTCAGGTAACTTCAAAAAGGCTGTACCAGAGTAGGCATTTTCACATTTTTCTCTGAAAGGGACCTTTGTTAAGGGGCAATGAGAATTACACTCATTTTAGTAGGTGATTCAAATAATAAATTATTTGAATGAATGTAAGCAACAAAGTAAAGCTTCTCTTAACATTACAAAGTAAAATGCGTTTATGTTTTCTCTCTCTTTTTTTTTTAATTTTCATAATGTGTCAAATAGACTCATTTTGAGGGAGATACAGAGCTGCATTTTCAGAGAGTAGTGTAAACAGATGTATCTCTACATACTCTTTGCTTTTCCATGTAGGGCCGGAAAATTGATTTTCCATATGCTTATGCAGTTTTACTGGAAATAAAAAATTAACATCCTGAATACCATGCCACACAAGTGGAAATGTGAATTAATCCAGAAAATGATTCCATGTTCTTATGCTTCTTTTTCAAAACAAGTACTTGTTTTATTCTGACTTTGGTACTTAACACATCTCAGAATAATATAAAAGACAACAAATGCAGCAAAGCAGTGAAGCATAGGTTGAATTTTAAGTATAGGAATTTTATTTATGTCTGTTGTGAAATGATCACAATCAGCATCGAGTTATGACTATAAAGATTGACAGGTCTAAAACAGGTAGCAATGGAAAAAATCTCTAAAATACTTCTGAAATTGTTACCTAGATGTTGTACCACTTTATTTTTCCTCTAATCCTGATTTCCTCACTATTCTTCAGATATTAGATTATTCTGTACGTTTTTAAGAATAGAAGCTGACATCTCTACCTAGCTTATAGTCTTGCTCCTTTGCACTTTGTAAAAACAGAGAATAAAAACACATAAATAGTAGATTGCTCTAGAAGTAATGTCTCCTATTTATTTACTTGGAAACTAAACAGAAAAAAAAAGGGAACAATAACACTGTTTGATACAAAACAATATTTTTCAGTATAGTTGCCACCATTAGCTCTACATTTTCGCCAGTGATAAAAGCCTGTGTGCTGTGCTTGTAAACATTTGCAGTAGCAGAGGTGACCCACTGTTTCACAGCAGCTATGATAGTGTTGTTGCTAGGAAAACGTTGCCTACACCGTCCAGTTTTCACTGTGCTCACAGCCACTGTCTTGTCTCCATTCAGTAAGCATTGAGGAATGTCAGTTGGTACAATTTTTTCCACACGGAGAAATTAAATAACTCACTTTTGGTTCATACACACTTCCATGTCAGATACCATTTTGTCAGACCACTGCTCTGCTGTTATCTGCTGTACAGTAACAAAATGTAGTGGAGTATTGCTGGGAAGGTTCAGCCTCTACTGCCATACCACCAACATCTGCCTTTTACATTGTGGACCAACGTAAGAAGCTTTACTTTTGAAACAGCCCCTGTAAATAAAAGTCTTCCAAGTCTTAAGCGTAGTCACAACTCTGGCTAGATTGTACTCCTCACCTTTGCTTGTATTATATTCAAAAAGCGTTGGTTCATGGTTGGGTGTTTTGTGTGTGTGTTTCACTGCAATTAGGCTTTTTACATGGTTTCACACAAATGGCCAACTAAATATCATTGTGCTGTTCTCTCACTCCCTCTCCTCAAAGGAAGAGGCAAGGGAAAAAAATATTATTAAATAAAAGCATCATGGGTTGAGAAAAGGAAATTTAATTGCAGGGAACCTTGCAGAAGTAAAGAAGGAGGAAATAATCATTGTCTATTTTCCACCAGCAGGCAAGTTCAGCCACATCTTGGGAAGCAAAGCCTCAGTGCATAGCAATTGTTTAGGAGGACAGATGTTTTCATAAGTGGGCTCCCATTTTTCCCCTTTTCCAACTTTTATTGCTGAACATGATGCCATATGATAAAGATGTTGGTTTGGGTCAACTGCTTCATCTCTTGCTTATCCCTTAATGGATTTGTGGGGGCTGGGAGTCAGCCTTGGTGAAGTGCCAGCACTGCTCAGCAGCTGCCAAAACAGTAGGTCTAGCCACATGTGCAGAGCACAGCATTGCATGGGCTGCTGTTCAGAAAGTCAGCTTCGTCCCAGCCAGAGCCAGTACACCTCTTTTTTCCCATAAGTCTCTTACATCTTTTAGTCATTTGCTCAATAAGAACAAACTGAATGACTTTTAACCTCCAAAACTTCATCAGCCATGTTTCCAAAACATAAAACACTGATTGCATTGCTGATGCTGGCAGGTCATTTTATGCTCTGTGGCAGAGAATATATTCATGTTTCTGAAAGTCTGTATCCTGCTGTTATAAAAAGGAAGCTTAACAGGAGCCTTTTTTTTTTTTTTTTTTTTTTTTTTTAAAGTGCAAGTCCTGTTTCTATTCAGAGCTTATAAAAAATGCATGTTACTGGTGCTGAAAATTCTCTAAATGTCTTGTGTAATTATGAATCGTGAGTTCAAGACTTGTCACATGTATGTCTAATAATGCCACTTACATGCTAAAACTGAGTCCTGAAACAATTAGTTCTATTCAGGCAAACAGTCCCAAATGTATTCTCTTCTAGATTTTTGGACTCTCTCTTGAATGGCTGATAGAAGAGTAAGACCAGTCTGGGGAAGATTTTTTACAGTAATTTGTATATAGTATAGCCACAATTTTGGGAGTTCTAATTCAGAACACTATAGGACAATTAAAAAGGATTGTATACAAATACACAATTCCTATGACATCAGGATTGTACATTAATTTTAATGAAAGAATGTGCAAGTCTACTGCCAACCTATAAATAGGCTAAATGTATCCTCTGAGATGGCATATGGAGTCCAGGTTTTTCTCCTAGTCCTTGATTGTACCCATCCTACTGCTAGTCAAGGATAATTGAGTCTACAAACCTAGCAAGCTCAAAGCGTACAGAATGACTAAGCTCATTTTCTACTGACTGCCTCTCCAGCCCCATGCTGCCTATTTCTCCAGCTAGAAACTAACTTCTGCTGTATGTGCTCTTATGAGTGTTTCTTTATCCAGAGCAATTTCTCTTCTATGTGGTCAAACGATGCACTACAGAGCATCAAACGCATCATGCTAATGCCCATCTGGAATGGGATTATTTACATGCACCCATAGGCAAAGGGGAAGAGGGAGTAGTCTCCTCATGAGAACATTTTATATAGTTTGTGAGATGAATCCATGTGGAAACTGTTCTCAAAACAACAATTTTGATATCTTTTCTGAGATCATTGTCCTCAACTTGAAGGTTTGAAGGGTGAAACTATTTATAAATTTCTCTCTCTGTGAGTGTACCCATGGTAATAACTCATTTGTGTCACTGTTCTCAGTGTTATCTGAATATATTCTCCAGAGTGCTAGATATACATAGGTCACTCTGGAAATAATGTCTCATCTATTTCCATGGAAACTACAGCAGATACAATGAACACAATAGCATTATCAAATAGAGAAAATGACCTACTAAACACTGG